CTTTCTGTATGCTCTGGAGCATTTTTAAATTATCTTCTTGCTCAACGGTCACCTTTCTAGGTCATAAAGAAGCATTTCCCTTTTTCTTTGCAGACTTTACAAAATGGGAACAGGAATTAGACTGTTGACTCCACAGAGAAAAGGGTTGTGGGCAGGAGATAATAACTGTTCCTTCTGTAACGTAGGTGGGACCCCAATGGACCCAAAGCAGGGGAAAAGAGACAAGCAGAGCTATCACGGAGTGACCTGTCCACTTCATAGTGACACAGTGAAGTCAGACCTAGGGCTAGGGCTGCTTGCTCACCTATAAATAGAGAGGACCAAATATTCCTTTCCCAATGTGAGGCATTCTTGGGGCAATAAATGAAGTTTCTAATCAAATCACATAAGTATTACTGGACTCAATTCTCAGAGCTCTGCTTTGGGGATGTACTGGCAGGAAACCTTCTCTATCTGTGAGGACATTTAGAAAACACAGGCGTCACACAGGCAGACTTCTTGGTATGTTTCCATCTCTTCCTGCCCTGGGAGCTGGAAGATGGAGCTCACATTTCAGCTCAAGGGATGTGGCATCCACAGAGCCCATGTGGCAGGTCCTGAGGTTTCTTAATCACCAAGTCTAGAAGGCATAAAACCAACCTTCGCAAACTACAGCACTGGAAAGAAGGTTCCCCTCTCTGATTTTCTCAGAAATCATCCTGACAAGAGGATCCCTTCAGTCCTTATGCACAAGAAAATTCCCTCTCCGGCCCCACCTTATCATCCATGAATAATTCTCACTGTCCTCAAATATACAGAATAGACCATCCACATGGGGCCACCAACAACCTGCACGACTTTGAATGTTGAGAATGACAGTGGATGGGTGAGATTCCACCACCTACTTGGCAGCAGTTTTGGTCTCAGTCCCTGAAGGCAGGTAGGGCTCAGAGTTGGCTCAAGGCCTTCCCTGGACCAGCTGCTACTTCCCCGTGTATAAGCCACTAAAATCTCTACGGTGATGCTCCAATATCCAGATGGTTTCTTCCTAGATCGGCTCACTGGACTCATGGCCTTCATTCAAAGCAAAGGCTTGGGTTACCTTGATTTTTCTCTCCTTTCCAGGGTTCTAATATTCTTCAGGTCCAAATCAAGTACTTGTTCATCTTCTGATAATAATTAAAATTAACTAGAGGACATTCAGAGTTGAGAAGTGTGGTAGCCAGACTCTGAGATGGCTCCCAAAGACCCTTACTACCTAGTATTCATGCCTTTGTGTAGTCCTTGTCCAATGGTACCAAGGTGGGTCTGTGTGACCAACAGAATATGGAAGAAGTGATGGTGTGTCACTTCTGAAATCAGATGATAAAAGACATTGTGGCTTCATCTTGATTGTGTGCAACTAACTGTTTTGCTCTCTCTTGCTCTCTGTCTCTCTCTCTCTCTCTCTCTCTCACTGGGATAATTTGCTCTGGCAGAAATCCACTGCTACGCTGTGAACAGTCCTGGAGAGAGGCCTCTCTGGTGTAGAGCACCTCTTACCAAGAGCCATCTAGTGAGTTTGCAACAATATCCTCCCACCTAGTCAAGCCTTCAGAAGTTAGCAACCCAGACAACAACTTGCCTGCAACCTCATCAGGGACCCTGAACACCAGAAATAACCAGTTAAGCTGACCTGGATTCCTGACCCTCAGAAATTGCGTGACAAAATAAACATTGGCTATTTTAAGCTGCAAAATTTTGGGGTACGTAATAACAGAAAACTAATACAAGAAAGAGGATGTGTCTGCTTTTCCTCTGTAGCCTTGGAAAGTATAAGAAGCACATTTCTGGTTGTGAGAACTACGTCATGCAGAGCAGTGCTGTCTGCCTCATCTTTCCCCACAGTGCTTCGCACTGGGCCTTACACTGGTTAGGCAGTCAATAAATATGTGACGAAAGTCATACAATGAACAGACTTCTAATTCAGCTCACAAAAAAGAAAATGACAAAAGGACCATTACGAGTCCCAGAAAACACCTAGTGCCTCACTTAAATTAGAACACCAATGGCCACATCAAAACTCAGTACCAGCCAGGCACTGAGGCTCACCCTGTAATCCCGGCACTTTGGAAGGCCAAGGTGGGAGGACGGTGTGATCCCAGGAGTTCGAGACCAGCCTGAGCAACAGAGCAAGACCCTGTCTCTACAAAAAATAAAAAATAAAAAAATTGCTGTGTGCACCTGTAGTTTCAGCTTCTCAGGAGATTGAGCTGGGAGGATCACTTGAGCCCAGGAATTCCAGGCTGCAGTGATCTATGTTGGTGTGCCACGTACTCCATACTGGCTGACAGAGTGAGACCCTGTCTCTTAAAAAACAAGATAACAAAAACCCACACATTTTACCTGTAGTTTTGATAAAGATATAAATGTAAACTTATATTTGCTTAACTCTTTCTAAAACAATTGCACATGTATACAAGGAATCACATACAAAACATTTACATCAATGCTATTTGTAACAGCAAAAAAAATTACCACTGAAGAACCATTAACAATAAACCCATAAAACCTGTAACATATTTAGAAGGTGAAGTATGGGCGCTAGGTATGTATAGTGGTATTGGGATGTCACTGCTCCCGGCCCTCCACGGACAGACAGGCAGTCTGTGTGCACACATACGCACACAGACACAGGCACACATCTCTATATATTTCTAGATTAATGTGTACTGAAAGCCATGAGCCCACATTAAAACCTCCAATTCCCACTGCACACCAGAGTCCACTCAAATGTTCTTTCTTGCCATATCTGTACCTTCCTGATTTGATGGCAAAGCGCCCGGCTCCAGTCCCTTATTACACACTTACTTATCTGATCTGGCCCCCTGGAGGTAGCTCCACTCCCGTTTCCACAATGATGCCCTCTCCCCATGGATGCTTTCCCCAGACTCCCTGGGCTCTGCCATTGCACACTGGGCCACCCTCTGCCAAGGGGAGCTCCTCACCCTGCTTAGGCTTTGACTCCCCGGGCTAGGCTGCCCCCACTCTCAGACTCACTCCTCTGCCACTTGGACTTGGACAGCCCACATGAGGCCACCCCACTGTGTCCGTACCCTCCACATGCTGCTGGGCTCTGACACCCCTGCAGCCCACCCTCATGCATGATGCCCCCAACATGCTCATGCTCTGACATGCCACGCCAGGCTGCACCTGACCCCCAACGCAGGTGCACATCTCACCCCACTCTGGCTCCAACACCCTATCAACCATGGACACCTGCTCACCGCACTTGGGCTCCAACTGCCCCCACTGAAGCACCCCATCTCTGGAGGCCTTGCTCACCTGCTCTGACCCCGTCACCCCACACCAGATCTCCATATATGGACACTGGCCTCACCCACTTGGGCTCTGACACCCACACTGGGCTGCCTCGCGTGCACAAGCGTGGGCTCTGACTATGCTGGGATGTCATCCCGTGCAGATGCACTCCTCACCCTGCTTGGTCACTGACCCTGCACAGGGACACTCTCTTCAGAGCAGGCAGCCCCGACAACTGTAGGTGCCACCTAGCACTGCCCCCACCTCATGGCTTCAGGGCTGAATTGTTCAGGAAGAGAAAGGAGAAGCCCTAATTTAACAGTTTTAAGAAATTAAGAGTTTTCAAAGAATATTTGCAGTAGGAAATGTTCTAAATTGGGAACTTGTTTTTTAGAGACAGAGTCTTACTCTGTTGTCCAGGCTGGAGTGCAGTGACACAATCATAGCTTACTACATCCTAGACCTCCTGGGCTCAGGCGATCCTCCCACCTCACCCACTCAAGTATCTGGGACTATAGGTGGGCACCACTATCCTGGCTAAGTTTTAAAAATTTTTATAGAGACAGGGTCTCACTATGTTGCCCAGGCTGGTCCTGTACTCCTGGCCTCAAGCAATCCTCCCACCTCGGCCTCCCAAAGTACTGGGATTATAGGTGTGAACCACTGTGCTTGGCCAGTTGTTAATGTTTTTACCTTAAAGTGCACTGTACAAAAATATGAAAATACAGGCCAGGTGTGGTAGCTTATATCTGTAATCCTAGCACTTTGGGAGGCTGAGGTGGGAGGATGGCTTGAAGACCTTCAAGACCAGCCTGGAAAACATAGTGAGATATCGTTTCTACAAAAAAATTTTAAAATACACACATACAAAAATATTAGCCAGGCTTGGTGGTGCCCAACTGTAGTCCCAGCTATTCAGGAGGCTGAGGCAGGAGGATGGCTTGAGCCCAGGAGTTTGAGGCTGCAGTGAGCTAGGACTGTGTCACTGCACTCCAACCTGGATGACAGAGCAAGACCCTGTCTCAAAAAAAAAAAAAGAGAAAGAAAGAAAGAAAGAAGAAAGAAAGAAGGAAAGAAAGAAAGAAAGAAAGAAAAAGAAGAGACGAGAAGAAAAGGAAAAAGAAAATACAGATAAATGGTAAAGTCACTTATAAAGTAACTACAGATAATGTTTAACTGACTGCTATATTTATAGTCTTCTAACATATTTTCTATATACACAAAAACTATATCCCTTTTTAAAAGGTGATGATTTCTAAGTGCAGTTTACTTAACATGGGTAATAAATAACTTTTTCTGTCATTTAATTTGCATTATTCTATGAGTTTCAATGGCTACAGTGTATTCTATTTCACGGTCTTACCATAATTCATTCGGCTATCCTCTTGCATCGCACATTTAGTATATTTCCAATTGTTCATTCTCAAACAAAGCTGTGAATTGCTGCCCAAAGGGAATCAGTATTCTAAGGGCTTTTGATTCAGGATGCCAAATTCCTTCCAGAAAGAGTTACCTAGGCTAAAAACGTGAGGCAACCAGCAGGGAGATTCATAAAATATATAGTGTGTAAGTGTTGGAAGCCTGAGAGCCATGAGGGCCCCAAACCCCCTAAAAGGCTGCAAAGTGAGTCAGGGAAGAGTCACAGCCTCCCAAGCCCAGAGGGTCAGGCTGCAGACAGACCCCAAGCTCTGGGTCTCTCTGGGAAAGGTGGCTCCACTTACCTGTGCACAGGCCTTTGGGGGCTCTGGGGGCTTCTCATCCTGCTCTTCCATGCTCTCCTCCAGGCACAGCAGGGTGCTGACGTCTTGAGCTGCACTGAGAGAAGCCCCAAGTACAGCATTTAGATGCAGGTCTGCCAGAACTGCTGGGCCCCCACCCCCATTAGTCCCTGCTCCCAGGATGCAGGATGCATTCCCATAGCAAATGCACTTCTGGAGGTTCCTGCCGGCTTCCTGCCCAAATACCCGTGTATGTACTGAGAGTCCCTCAGTCCCTCTCCCGGGCCAAGTTTCTGCAGCTCCAACCTGGTTCCTCCACTATCTTGGGCCCCTGGACCATCTACCTGTAAGCCCAGCTTATGCCCAACATGGCCTTCTGCCCACCACCAAAGTCTGCAGCACCAGTCTGTCCCTCTCCTATCCCACTGGGCCCTGGGATCCCCACAAATATCAGGCATATCGAGGACCCCCTGGTATTCACCCCATCCTACCCCTACCAACCTCAATCTACAGCCCCAAACCAGCACTTCTTCCTAGGGCCAGAATCACACTCACTGCATGAAGCTGGTGACACAGCTCCACTGACTGCTCCCAGGAACTGATTCAACAACTAAGACTGATCCTACCCTTCCTAAATCAGCCAGGCCTGTCCCTCCAGCAACCCAGCGCAGAGGGCCACCCACTTCCTGCTCAAACAGCCAAGCGTATATGCACAGAGCTCAGCTGTACTCACATCCTGTTCCCTCCACACTTCTGGGGTCCACTGGCTCCTACTCCAACAGCGCCAGCCAGATTCCCACCCCAACACCCTCCCAGGCCCTGAATTTGCAGCTCTAAACCAGTCCCTCCACCAACTTGGGTATACTCAGGCCTGAAACTGTAACAAGGCCTGCATAGGACTGGGGGCCTCCAACAGACACCAGCACAAGTCAGACAAAAGCAGCCCTACCTGCTACCTACAGCTCTAAATCCATGTCTCAGAAGCTCAGGTGTCTCTGTACCAACTAGGTGTTTTGGGATCCAAGGCTAGAGCAGCCCCGGGCAAATCCTACCCTAGGCAACCCATCCCCTGCACCCCATCTCTCCTACTTACTTTCTCTCCTGCTCCCACCATATTCTCACACGGCATAGTGTAGGTTCACAATGGAGCTGTTTCCTGAACTTGCACCCAAACTGTTTCCTCCGCCTTACTCCACAGCCCCCTGCTTGAGCCACACCTGCCCAGATTCTGGCCAAACACCTTTCGGGGCACCTGTGGCTCAGGAAGATCCTGTCTTTCCACCAACCTGGGCACCATCAGGCTGTGATCAGGGTTCCAATCACGCAAAGACCGCAGCACCCTCTGTCTAAAACTCATCTCCGGCCTCCTGTTTTCCAACCAAACACCTGTGTGTGTGCACAAGGGGTGCCTGACACAGTCCCGCCCCTCTGCAGCTGCTCCCTCCACACACCTGGGCATCCTCAGGCAGAACCAGGGTCCTAGGACTGCCCATGCCTCCCCAATCTGCCCAAACGCCAGCACATGTGCAGAGTGCTGCTGGAGCAGCCCCTTGTCTCCTAAGACCAGATCCAAACTGGAGCCCCCAGACCTCTATTCCGCAGCCACTGCACACGGGCCACCCACCTAGGCTCCCTCCTCCTACTGACACAGCCACAGAGCAGGCTCATGCTCACAATCTGCATGCGGGACCTGGCTCCTCTGCCAGTCTGGGGGCACACCCTGCTCCTGAGACAAGAAGCTACATCCCTCACCCTGTGTCTCAACCTGCCTGGGACATCTCAGGCACCCACAGCCTCTGTGTGGGTTCGGGGGTCACCTGCCCCACTATTTGCCTGCAGCCAGAACACTACAACAACTAAACAGTAGCTTGAGCATACAGCTCCACAGTCAGCCCCGGGACTTGGGCACTTGCCAGCGTGGGGGTTCTCAAGCCCATGATATAGCAGCTCAATAGGAACTGGGCCCTTTGGACTTCTCTTGCCCAAACACGAGGGCCTGGGTATCATGCGGTCAGCTCTTCCCAGCACCAAATCTGCAGCACAGACTCTGTCCCTCTACTAACCTGCACATTCTCATGCCTGCAAGTAGCATAGCCCAAGTAAAGGTCTCAGCAACACCTGCTTCATAACGATGCTGGCAACATACTGCTTCCTCCCCAGCTACCAATTTGATGGCAGCTGTTGCAGCTCTGTCCTTCCTGGACTCAAATTCTGTATCTCCAACCCGGAGTCTCTGCCCATCTTGAATGCCCTAGAGCTCTGCACTATCCTACATAGGTCCCTACTATCCGTTCCAGTTTCTGTTTTCCATTCAGACACCCACAGGACGTGCAGGGTGCCCTCTGCCCACAACCTGTTTCTAGGCCCTGATACCCTCCTTCAGCCTGCAACTCCAACCTGGTCTCTCCACCAACCACAGCGCCCTCCAGACCTTGGAGAAGCGCGCTGTCTGCTCCAGGGGCCCAGGGGCCCAGGGTCACCTGCTCGGAATCTTACCTACCACCTCTTGCTTCCTACCCAAATACTTGCTCAAGAATAAAGGGACAGTGGCACAGCCCTTCTTCTCCAGAAACCACAATCTGCAATGGAGTACTCCATCAACCCGGACATCCTCAGGCCTCCACTAAATATGCCCGGCATTGGAGGAGGGGAGTTCTCAAGATGTCCCCTTACATCAATTCATGTGCCCTGTGTTCCAGCCACCTGGGCATCCTCAGGCCCCAGACAAGAGCACCACCTGACCAAGCACCTGCGCATGCACGCAGAGGACAGTCGCAGAATACACAGCTGCCTCGGTAACTCCATCAATCCCGGTGACCCCAGGCTAACGCGCCACCCGCACAGATACCAGGTCTCCCAGCTACACTCACCACCTCTTCCAGCTTCCCGCCTAGACCCTGCGCATGCGCGCATCGGACACCAAGAGCTGCCCCACGCCCCACCAACCTGGGCGTCCGCTGGCCCGCAGCCCAGGCTGGGCCTGTCACCGCCTCAGTGCCTGGCACGGCTCTGTGGCAGGACGAACTCGGGTTAAGCAACCCCCTGCCCCGATTCTGCCACACGGTCGACTCGGGTTAAGCTAGTTCGGTCCCCTCCCCTAGTCAGCATCCGCAAGGTCGCTGGGGGTTAACTCTGAAGGGCCGACCTGCTCGGCGACAGCAACCGTCCGCGCGCGGGACAATGGCTGCGCTTGTGGCCGAACCCGGAAGTGCACTGAGGCTCGGCGAGCCAGAACTACAATTCCCAGAAGCCTCCGCGGCGCGGGCGGTGAGTGGGCGGGGTTCCGGCTCCTCCAAGGAAGTGGGGCGGTGGACCGGGTCAGAAGCTGAGCGGGCGTCGGCGTCCGGTGCCTGGAGGGGTGCTGCACCTGTGCTTGTGCAGGTAGGTCTAGGGGAGCCCTAAGACCAGCCGCGGGACCGGGAGGCCGAAGCCAGTGCATCGACGCGTAGGGAGTCGCTCTGGCATGACTTCAGAACGAATAGAAAAGGCGGGGACCCTTCCTGGGTGCCCCTTCCTGTGAGACGCTGCGCGCGACCCACTGTCTCCTCTAGTCCTGGGGGAAACCTGTGAGACAGTTGCGACATCCCCATTTTACACTGGAGGGAGCGTCTACCGAACCCTTCAGGAATCTATGTTTTACATTTAATAATAGTAAAATATAAAGAGTCATTTTATTTTTAAATTTTAAGTTCTTTGTCTGCCTATAAGGCCTGAATGATCAGTTCCCCCACCTCTCCCCTTTTCTCTGTTTTTTTGTTTGTTTGTTTTTGTTTTGTTTTTGTTTTGAGACGAAATTTCGCTCTTGTCGCCCAGGCTGGAGTGTAATAGCGCGATCTCGGCCCACAGCAACCTTCACCTCACGGATTCAAGCGATTCTCCTGCCTCAGCCTCCTGAGTAGCTGGGATTACAGGCGCCCAGCTAATTTTTGTATTTTTAGTAGAGACAGGTTTTCACCACGTTGGCCAGGTTGGTCTCCAACTCCTGACCTCAGGTGATCCGCCCGCCTCAGCCTCCCAAAGTGCTGGGATTACAGGCGTGAGCCACCGCGCCCGGCCCCCTTTTCTTTTTGCCCTCATTTCTTGCCCATTTGCTTTGCACATTTTCCCCATTCTCCAACAGATCCAGCAGACTCCAGCCCCCGGGCGTTTGCATGTGCTGTTTGCACTCCTTGGCAGCCTGTCCTGAGGGATTCATTTGGTTCTCACCGTCTGCTCATTAGGGGAACATCATCTTCTCATTAGGGATTACCCCACCACCCGTTGTGAACTTGCAAGCAAACCCTTCCCTCCCCATATGCTCCCTGCCTCCTCCTTCATCTTTTATTTGTTTCTCTAAAGAACTTTTCACTATCTAGCACACTATATATTTTAAGTATTTATTTGGTCTACTGTCTGCCTTCACCACTACAATGTCAATTCCATAAGGAAAAGCATTTGTATCGATGTTGATCACTGCTGCATCACCAACACCTAAAAAAATAAAACAGAGAGACCTTGCACATGATAGATGCTCAATAAATATTTGTTGACTAAATAAAGCTTCCTGTCTCTGTATTAAACACTTTGATATCTCATTATCCAGCCCAATCACCCTATGAGGTAGTTGTGTTAATTTTCGTCCTACCAGGGAGGTAGCTGAAAATTGGAGCCCTGCTGTATGAAAATACATAATCTTAGTTTTTAAAAAATGCTTGTCAAAGCATTCCTGTAGTTTTCTTCATGTAAATTCTGACCTTTAATAACAACGAATTACTACTATTTGAAATGTAATCTATTCCCAAAGCTGTTTTGTTTTGTTTTGTTTTTGAGACGGAGTCTCGCTCTGTCCCCCAGGCTGGAGTGCAGTGGCGTGATCTCGGCTCACTGCAAGCTCCGCCTCGCAGGTTCACGCCATTCTCCTGCCTCAGCCTCCCCAGTAGCTGGGGCTACAGGCGCCCGCCACCACGTCCAGCTAATTTTTACTTTTTTATTTTATTTTTGTATTTTTAGTAGAGACGAGGTTTCACCGTGTTAGCCAGGATGGTCTCGATCTCCTGACCTTGTGATCCACCCGTCTTGGTCTCCCAAAGTGCTGTGATTACAGGCGTGAGCCACCGGCCCGGCGCCAACTTTCTTATTATTAGTTATTGTGGTTGATCTTTTAAAAAAATACTTATTTTGTATCTGGTTAACCTACTGCAATGTTATTAATTCTTATAATACTCCAGTTGTCTTGGCTTTTCTATTGAGACAGTTATCTACAATTTCATTTTTTCCTTACCAGTATTTTAAATTAGACTTTCTCTTTCATGTTGGATTATATTGGCTACCATTTCAAAACAGTATTACTAAAAGAGGCATTCTTGTTTGTGTTCTTTTAATGGGCATATCTCCGAGGTTTGAGGGTTAAATGTGACGTTGGTTTCTAAATTGAAGTAAGTAGCTTATTTTTTTTAACCTTTTATTTTGTAAATTTCAAAACAAAAGTAGGGACTCAATGAATGACCCCCTATGACCTATGTCATCCAACTTAACTATTTTCACTCAGTCTTGTTTCATCTGTATTTCCACCTATATTGTGCTTTCCACTCTCTTCATCTCTCAGGGATTTTAAAGCAAATTCTACATATTATTTTATTTTGTCTGTGAAATGCTACATTTCAGCGTATGTCTAACGAGAACTGGTTTTAAAAAGAAAACTTCAATACAAAATAGATATATGTTATAACTACTGGGTACAAACAATACAAAATTATTTCCAGATGTTATTAGCAGAAGACCCAAGAGAGTTAACTAAAAGCAATTAACATCGAGGAGAGTTTAAAAGTAATTAAATGTGATACAAGTAATAATAAACATTTATGTTACACTCTATGCTAATAATAATAAACCTTTATGTGAAACTCGGTGCTAAGCAGTCTTGTAAGATCCATATTTTATATACAATATATTAAATATATAATATGTATTACATATATACATATATAACACATATAATACATATTATATATTTAATATATTATATATAGCGTATATTATTTTTTCTCATTTAGTCCTCACCACAACTCTTGTGAAATGAGACTGTTATTTACATTTTACAGAAGACAAAACTGAAGCCTAGAGATAAGTAACTTACCCTAGACTGTATTAGGATAGAGTTGGAATTTGAGACCAAGAAGTTGAACTCTAGAGTCCACACTCTTAACTTTTACATTATGTTGCCCCTTGTCTACACGTCAATATCTTTCCTCTACATGCAAGTAATACTAAGTTTGCAAAAAAGACAGAAAAAGCAAAAAAAAAAAAAAAAAAAGCCTTATAAATAAATTTAGTAAGATAAATATAGGTCATCTGAAGAAACCCTCAAAACCTTACTGAAAGAGAAAATGGACACATAGAAATGCCGTGTTGCTAGCTGTGTTGTAAAGATGTAAAATCTTGCAGATTGATCTGCAAATACAAATATGACAAAATCAGAATGGGATGCCTTGAGTGTTAGCTCATCTTCCTTTTTTCACTTCATTTATTTTTCTGCTAATTGTTTAAGATATTCAGAAAATAGGCCAGGCGCAGTGGCTCACACCTGTAATCCCAGTACTTTGGGAGGCTAAGGCGGACCAATCATGAGGTCAAGAGTTCGAGACCAGTCTGTCTAACATGGCGAAACCCTGTGTCTACTTTAAAAATACAAAAATTAGACAGGCATGGTGATGCATGCCTGTAATCCCAGCTACTCAGGAGTCTGAGGCAGAAGAATCGCTTGAACGCGGGAGGCAGAGGCTGCAATGAGCCGAGATCGTACCACTGCACTCTATCCTGGGCAACAGAGCGAGACTCTGTCTCAAAAAAAATTCAGAAAATAGAGCATTAGTACTATAAAATGTAAAACTGACTTTGTTTATCTGTCTTTTGTTTAGTCTTTTTTTTCTTTCAAAATAAACAAAGTGGTAGTGTTTACTTCCAGGAACCTATAAATCCTAACTTAACCTAATATTACAGGACTTTAGAAGAATTACCACTGCTGGGGGCAGTGGCTCATGCCTGTAATCCCAGCACTTTGGGAAGCCGGAGCAGGAGGATCACTTGAGCCCAGGAGTTTGAGACCAGCCTGGGCAACATGGCAAAACCCCATCTCTACAAAAAATACAAAAATTAGCCAGGCCTGGTGGCACAAGTCTGTAGTCCCAGCTATTCAGGAGGCTGAGGTAGGAAGGATTGCTTGAGCCAAGGAGGCAGAGGTTGCAATGAACCAAGATCACACTACTACACTCCAGCCTCAGTGACAGAGCCAGACCCTGTCTCAAAATAAATAAATAAATGAATAAATAAATAAAAATTTAAAAAAAAAAAGAGTTACCACTCAGGAACATTCTAGAAAGATGCCCATCTAATCTAGAGATTTATCTATCAACTGTCTGGGGAACAGCTGACACCAAAGTTCCATATTAAGGTTCTGTTTATTGGCCAGGAATTGGGTAAGGGCTCAACATACAGTGAAGAGCAAGAAAATTATGAATCCATTTACTATAAATAATAGAAGACAAAAGTAAGAGTCACTAGAGGGTGGAAGGGCATGATCTGTCTCTAGGATGTTGGGGGAGGGGGACATTTCTTGGCAGGGAAGAGGAAAGTTCCCAGCATTCAAATAGGGTGGTGTTTCTGGCACTACTGAGTGCAACCCTTAGGATCCTAACTCTAGTCTCTTGTATCACATCTAATGATTAATTTTTAAAATCTGAATTAATGTTATCATCATCATGATAGCCATTCAGCTCCGAGGATAGCAACAACCCATTCTGAAAACTCTTTCTTCATTTCCAGGAGTTTTCAATATTGGTTTCCCCCGTGTTAACAGTCCTTTTCTGTCTCCTTTGCTTGATGTCTCCTGTAAACATCGGAGGGACCCAGGAATCAGCTGTCAGCCTGTCCCTTGCCTTGTCTTCATCCACTCTGCTTGGGGTTGACATACAGGCCTATTGCTCAAACCCTGTAAGTTCCCAAGAAAAGTCCTGTTTTCCTGACTAGCCTTTGGGCAGCTCTGGGAACTGAGCTCTCATAATGTCCTATCTGGTAAGAGTCCTTTTGTTTGCCTGAGGCCTCGAGCCGTGCTGTACCAGTTTGTCCGGATGGTTTATACTAACAGTGTGATTTATGGAGGAACATCTGGAGTCTGGAGCGTCAGTGACTGACCCTTTACAAAAAACCATGGACACCCAGGTTTAGGTGAGTTTCCCTCGATGTCAATGCTTCACACACGTCATCACACATCATTGCTGGGGGATTTCCCATGTGCTATGGTTTGGATATTTGTCTCCTCCAAAACTCGTGTTGAAACTTAATCCCCAGTATGGCAATATTGAAAGATGGGGGCTTTTAAGAGGTGATTGGCTCACGAGGGCTTTGCCTTCATGAATGGATTAATCCATTCATGGACTAACAGATTAACGGGTTATCATGGGAGTGGAACTGGTAGCTTCATAAGAAAAGGAAGAGAAACCTGAGCTAACATGTTACCACACTCAGTCCCCTTGGCATGTGAACCCCTGCACCCCTTCAGGACTCTACAGAGTCCCCACCAGCAAGAAGGCTCTTACCAGATGCAACCCCTTGACCTTAGACTTCTAAGTCTCCATAACTGTATGAAATAAATTTCCTTTTTAAAACAAATTACCCAGATTCAGATATTCTGCTATAGGCAACAGAAAGCAGACTAATACACCATGTGACTCCACTGAAAGAGAACACTTGGAAGCTGGTGCAGGGTATCCTCCAGACTTCACCCCATGCACCTTTTCCCTTTGCCAATTTTATTCTCCATCCTTTTGCTGTAATAAACTATAACCATGAGGTTAGCAATTGGGTCCTGTGAATTCCTCTAGAAAATCTTTGAGCATGAGGTGCTCTTGGGGACCATCCTGACAGAGGAGTTCATCCAGCCCCATAACTTTAAATCCCACTGACAACTCTCAAATGTGTATCTCCAGCCATGATCTATCTAGACTTTTATGAACAATTGCCTACTTGATTCTCCAACTGATTCTTGACATGTCTAAATTCTTGACATGAAGCAAATTCTTCATTTCTCTCCTTATCCCAGAGTTGCTCAGAAAGTGACCTGTCAGTCATCCAGTTGCCCTGGCAAGAAACCATGGAGATATCCTTGTCTCCTCACTCTCTTTACCTTCAGCAAATCTCATTCCGACTCTCTCCACCCCTGCAATTCCCAGGATTCTAAGCATTTCATGCCTACCTCTCCTAAGGAGCCTCAATCCCTCACTTCACTATGTGTTTTCTCCTTTTATTAAGAGCTCTTAATTTCTTAAGAGCTCCTTGTTCCTTATCTTCTGCCATGATTTGAAAAGCCACTTCTTCTCTGACCCCTGCCTTTGTCACCTGCTCCTCTCTGGCTGACTCAGACTTACTCTTCTCCCTGGAGTCTATGTCCACCAACGGTGTTTGCTCAACCTCAACCTGCAACTACGATATCCTATGCTGTTCAGTCTCAAACCTCGGCCCTCTAACTCTAGATCCACGGGCTGTCATTTTTACCGTTACCATTGCTTTGAAAAAAAAAAAATATGAGTCAAAATCTAAGATTCTGTGGGAGCTAGGGCCTGACCAACCCATTGCAATAGAACATCACAAGGTATACAGAGATGACAGAGAATGACTGGCTTATAATATGCACTTAATAAATATCATTAAATACATGATCGAGCATGGTTTCTCTAGGACTCCTGGAGAAAAAGAGCTCTGCTTCCGTTAAACTGAGGAGTTGATTTGGACGTAAGTGTTGGGCTCTGGATTCACAAGCTCCTGTTAAACAAAAAGAAAATGTGAGCTCCATTTGCTAGGTGGACCCTCCCAGTCTACTCACTGTAGTCTGTGGCCCAAACAGCCTGGTACTTTCCTTTCTTTGGAAATTCCAGAAATCTTCCTCCATTCTCATCACACTTTAGTAACACTGACACCTTTTTGTTCCTGGAATGGCCCATGTACTTCCCCACTGTGGTAAACAGACTCTAAAATGGTCCCCATAATCCCTGCTTCCTGGTATTCATTCCTCTATGTAATCTCCTCACCTTGAGGGCAAGACCTGCATCTAACCTTGCATCTAACCAATAGAATATGGCAAAGGTGGTAGGATATGCATGATTGCATGTATGTGATTCTGTTACACAAGATTATGACTTCTGTCTTAGCTTTGAAGAAACAAGATGCAATGTTGTGAACTGCCTATGGAGAGGGCCACATGGCAAAGAACTGAGGATGACCTCCAGCTGACAGTAAGAAACTGAGGCCCTTATTATGACAGCCTGCAAGGAACTGAATGCTGCTAATAACCACGTGAACTTGGAAGTGGATCCATCCCCAGTTGAGCCTCAGATGAGACCAGGCTTTGACTGACACCTTGATTATATAGCCTTGCAGAAGAGCTGTCTAAGCAATGCCTGAACTCCTGACCCACGGAAACTGTGAGATAACAAATTCATGTTATTTTAAGCTGCGAAGTCTGTGGTAATTCATTATACAGCAACGGATAACTCTACACCCACTTCTGGGCCTTTTCTCCTGATGCCTCTCAAGTTGGACTGTTTCTCTCCACACTGTTTGCATGGTTTGCTCCTTCTAATCCCTTCAGAATGTAGCAGACACTGAGTTGACTGACCTAGCATTCTTCCCCACACCACCTCCCTCGCTTGCTTCTATTGAAGAGACTGGGAATGTTAATGTATCACTTTCTCAGCCTCTGTTGCTGCAAGGAGCACCATATGACCTTATTCTGGCTGAGATATAAGAGGAAGCTTACTGAGTGGGATTTCTGGGAAGACCTTTTGCCCTACTAATAATAGGAAACAAACATGGCTCCCCTACACAGACACTGGTGAAGAGAGGGACTCAGGTGGCTAAGGTTTTACCAGTTCAAAGCCGATTACAGAGCTGACAAACCTAAACATGATACCGTGGCCTGAACCAATCTGATTCTCCTATGGAGAATTTGAACCTAGAAATGCTTGAAGGGCAGCAGAAGATGTTATTATATATACTCTGAAGTTATAGAGAAGCAATGACCAGTGACTTACATAGAAATTCAATGTGAATTGAGAGAATGAAATGAATTCATAGATTAGTGAAAATGAGAAACTGCGTAATAAGAAACAGCTTCTTTGTGGCATTCGAGTTGCCAAGAGGCCCAGGAGTAATTTCTGAAATTGAGTTATCTGATATTTCTCAGTGTTCTCTCAATTAATCCCCATTCAAACTATGTTCAAAGGGTTTAATGTTCTTAACATTAAAAATTCTTGACTAAGATATTAATATATGAAACATTCAGCCAGGTTCAGTGGCTTGCATCTTAATCCCAACACTCTGGGAGGCCAAGGTGGAATGATCGCTTGAGCCCAGGAATCTGAGGCTGCAGTTGGCCATGATTGCACTACTGCACACAAGCTGAGCGAAAGAGCAATACCTTGTCTCAAAAAAATACAAAGGTATATAGGATATTCACATTTTTCTTTTTTCTTTCTTTTTTTTTTTTTTTAGACGGAGTCTCGCTCTGTCACCCGGGCTGGAGTGCAGTGGCCGGATCTCAGCTCACTGCAAGCTCCGCCTCCCGGGTTTACGCCGTTCTCCTGCCTCAGCCTCCCGAGTAGCTGGGACTACAGGCGCCCGCCACCTCTCCCAGCTAGTTTTTTGTATTTTTTAGTAGAGAGGGGGTTTCACCATGTTAGCCAGGATGGTCTCGATCTCCTGACCTCGTGATCTGCCCGTCTTGGCCTCCCAAAGTGCTGGGATTACAGGCTTGAGCCACCGCGCCCGGCAGGATATTCACATTTTTCAAGAATAGTTCATCTGTTAGGCTAAAATCTACCCCTCTTTTACTTATCTTCCATGGTAATTTATCTGCCCTCTGGAACAACAAGGAACACATTTATCCCTCTACTTGAAGCCTGTCAGACACTAAAATAATGGAGTCCTCTGTCCCTAAATTTTCTCTTTTCCAAACCCAATAAAACCCTGTCAGTAGGACATGGATTTGAGCCCGTGTTCCGGCCTCTCACTTATTCCTCCTCTGGATAAATTCTGACTGGTCACTGACTTGTTCAGAATATAGAATCTAAAGTCCATTCTTGGAAATGGAGTAATCTGGCTGTCCTGATGACAGGGTTAAGATCACTTGCATTCTCTAAAGTAATTCTACTAGTCCTTAGAACTATGGAGCCATCACTTGACTGCTCTAAACTTGTTATTGGAACCTTTGCTTATGCCTGGATGAACTAATAGTTTTCTTCTTTTTAATTTTTTTCTGAGACAAGGTCTTGTTGCGTTGCCCAGGCTGGAGTACAGTGGCTGGACCTCAGCTCACTGCAACCTCTGCCTCCCAGGTTCAAGTGATTATCCTGCCTCAGCCTCCCAAGTAGCTGGGATTACAGGTGCCTGCCACCATGCCCAGCTAATTTTTGTATTTTCAGTAGAGACAGGGTTTCACCATGTTGGCCAGGCTGGTCTCGAACTCCCGACCTCAACACCTCCACCTCCCAAAGTGCTGGGATTACAGGCATGAGCCATCATGCCTGGCCCAGTTTTCTTCTTTTTGAATAATGTAACTAATCATACCTCTCTGTTTTATTGTTACCAGGAAGCTTAGAGACACATAAGAGATATAGGGGCAGATATCATGTAGGCCCAGCATATATTTTTTTACTTTTTACCCATATCTTGACCTCTTGCTATTGTTAAAAATATTTCTTCTGATTGTAATTTCTATTTCTAATTTAACACCATTTTGTAATGTTGTATATAAACTGCTTCAAATCTTCCACAGGAAAAACTGCTTCAAATCTCCCATGAGAAAAATGTGGGGAAGTAAATATCATGAATGAAATGAAAGATTGGAAAGGAAAGGAAGGGAATGAAAAGGAATAGACTGTTTAGGAATGTAACTGAAAGAGATGGCAAAAGCATAAATGAAATGGAGGGAAACTGAATAGGACAGAAAGGAATACAATATAAATTAAAGGCAGAGAATGGAGTGAAATAAAATGGCATGATGTCCAAAGAAGTGCAAATGAAAGAAATTAAATGAAAAGAAAAATTGTAGTGGAAAGAAAGAAACAAAGGAAAATCAAATGGAGCAGAAAAGAGAGTAATAAAATAAGGTAATGAGGGGGAGAGAAATGGAGAGGAAATGGGAGAAAAGTAATATAGTAGAAGGAAAGTCTAACATTAAAGAACAAAAATTAAGCAACAAAATTAAAAAAAAACAAAAGGGATGAAATGGAATGCCATGGAATATAAAATAATGAGATGAAATGAAACTGAAATCAATGGTGTAAAGAGTAGGAAATGCAAAGGACTGCAAAGAAATGGAAAGAGCTTAAATGAAGTGAAAAGGAGTGGAATGGAATGACTTGAAGAAATTAAATGGAAAGCTTCAAAAGGAAAGTAATAAAGACAAGGGAATGAAGTGCCATAAAGGGCATAAAGGGACAGGATGAAGTGAGAAAACATGGAGTAGAATGGAATGGAATAGAAAATAATTGAGTAGAATGGAATGGAATAGAAAATAATTGAGTAGAATGGAATGGAATAGAATAGAGTGGGATGGATTGGAGAGAAATGAAAAGGGAAAGAAATTGAAGAGAACAGAGGGAGAGGAATGGAAAACAGTGAAATAGAATTGAATGAAAGGGGAGGGGATGGAGAAGAGAAAGTGAATGGAAAAGAAAGAAGGGAATGGGAAAAAAGAAAAAGTGAATGGGAAAGGAATATAAAGAATAAGAACTGGAATGCAGTGGAATGAAATGAAAACCAATCAAATGGAAATGAATGTAAATAGGGACATTGACTAGGAAGGAATGGAGAAGTAGAAAACAGAATGGATGAAATGGATTAAATATATGGATGGAAATAAGAGGACTGAAATGGGATGGGAAGAGTAAGAATGGAAATGAAATAAAGTCGTGGGATGGGAATTGAGTGGGCTGGAATAAAATAGAGTGTAATGGAATGTAAAATACATGAATTGAAATGAATTAAAAGAAAAAATAAAAATGGATAAAATGTAATAGAAAGAAAGGAAAAGAATGAAAAGGAATGAAATAAGAAAGAGATGGAAAGGAGTGTAAAGGGATCAAACAGAGCTGAGTGGGATGGAATGAAAAGGCATGGAATGAGCCAGACATGATGGCTCATTCCTGTAATCTCAGCACTTTGGGAGGCCAAGGCGGGCAGATCAATCGAGGTCAGGAGTTCAAGACCAGCCTGGCCAACATGGTGAAACCCCATCTTTACCAAAAAATAAAAAAATAAGCTGGGTGTGATGGCTCAAGACTGTAGTCCTAGCTACTCAGGAAGCTGAAGTGGGAGAATCCCTTGAACCTGGGAGGCGGGGGTTGCAGTGATCAGAGATTGAGTCACTGCACTCCAGTCTGGGTGATGGAGCAAGAACCTGTCTCAAAAATAAATAAATAAATAAATAAATAAAAGAAAAAAAAAAGAAAGAAAAGAAAAGGCATGGAATAGAGCAGAGTGAATGGGAAGAGATAGGATGGGGGGAAATAGAGTGAAAGGAAAGAAACCAAATGGGATGGAAAGAAAATGGCAGAGTGAAGTGATATGGAAATACAGAAAATGAATAAAGCTAAATGGATAGAAAGGAAATGGGTGGAGTGAAACATGGAATGCAATAAAATGGAGTGCATTGGAAAGGAATGAAGGAAAACTAACTAGAAAATGACATGATGGAAATGGGTAGGATGGAATTGAGAAGATTTTTAAAGGGAAATTTTCTTTATAGTTCATCCTACAGACTCTTTAGTAGGGAAGAAAAACCAGATTGGTGACAGATTTCCACCTGTCCAAAGACTCAGTGTGGCATAAACATACCTCATAGATTGACTCCGTGTTTTTTGGCACAGTGGAGGGCAATCTGAGTGGGGGCATCAGAGGTTTGGGTGGTGGCTTCCACGGGCTGAAGGAATTGCCTCCAGGGCTTGCTGAAGGCAGCTTTGTCTGCAAGTAAGCAGAGAAATCAGGCAGGGCCTACAGTCATAGATTGCCAGGAATGTACCAACTTACACTCTTCAGAGACCCAGAGAGTGGAAGGAATCTGTTCAGATTCTTGCAGAGAATCAGAGGTGGAAGCAGGGTTAGAACCCAGGCCCTTGCCCTGGCCCAGAACTCTCCTTTCTCCTGCTGGCTCTGCAACCTTGACTCCCAGCCTCCTTTTCACCCCAGCATGTGCTGGTCCAGTACCACCTCACTGGCAGTCCAATTCCAAGCCCTGGAGGTGGAAGGAACAAAAGAGGATCCAGGGTCTTGGCATCTGACCCAGCTCCCTGTGAGGCCTTAGGCTACTCTCTTCCCATCCCCGGCCCTGTGCTGTGCCATGAAAGCTTTAGACAAGATCATCTCTCAGGCTTATCACACATAAAATTCTCAAACTGTCTTTCCTCCACAGATTCTTTAACCAAACCCAGCAGGGCCAATGTACCTCATAGGTCTCCTCTGGAAGGTCTGGTGGTTGCATCTGGGGAAAAACAAAGTTGCAGAGAGGTCATAGGGCTTGGAACAGGGGCACCCCAAGAGATTCTCAGAAAACAGCTTTGGCCTCAGAGGCAGTTATAGCTCTTCTGATTCCCAGAGGGCTCAAAGCTAGGAACTGTCATGTCAAGGAGTAAGAAGACGAGGAGAAGAGATGAAAAAACTCGGAAGGGTCTTAAGATCCTCAGAGAAGTCAAAGGAGGAGATGCAGAGAGGCTCAACCTGGCACTGGGTTTTCTCAAAATATCATGCCAGTCCCCACCCTAAGAAGTAAGACTACAGCAGCCTGGTCGGCAGATCAAGGAGGGTCCCTCTGCAGCATCACTCACCTTTTCGACTCTGATCCGTCCCTGAAGCTGGGATATGTTGCAATACTCAGGACTCAGGCTTTCTAGAAAAAGTGAATCTCAGTCAGGAGCTGGAGTTAGAAAGAGATATGGGGCAAGGGGCTGTTTTTCCAGGACCCCTGTCCCCAGAAAGGAAGTGCAGAAGTCTTCCTTCCCAGGACTCCCTGTCGTATTTCCACTGAGCTTGACCTGGGAATGTCCTAGAAGTCAAGTTCTGGGTTAGGTAAGGTTGTCTGGTGACACAAATGAGGAGAGAAATCTAAGTTCTAGCCCCAGTTTTGACAGTGGGTCCTCTGTAGCCTGGGTTTAGCCCTTTATCCCTCACGGCCTTGGTTTTCCTCTCTGTAAAATGGGGCTGGATTGGACAGTTTCTAGAAAGCCTTCCATATCAAAAGGCCTATCCTTCCAGAATCCCAGACCTAGAGATGGCAAATGTTTCATTTTGTCTTTGGTTAACTCTAACCCATCAGTAGAGGGCACTCGAGGCACTCTATTGAGATATGAGGCTGGATTTGGATTCAGCAGGAAGGAGTGTTGTGATTGATTCATTCTGTCTACAACAATCAATTAACAAAGTTTTCTGAGATTGAGAAAGGAGAGCATTCCAGCATGTTGTCCTGCTTTTGCCATGACTGTTGAAACAGGCAGAACCCGTCAGAGGGCTTGACTCCAATCTCATCCATATTCCAGATGGGAACACAGAGGCTCAGAGTGGGCAGGGTTTGCCCTGATCATACAGTGACCTGGTGGCAAAGCTGGGAGCCCCCAGCACCAGCCTCTTCTCCAGCCCTCACCCCCGCCCCAGGCATCATCCATAGAGTCACTCACCGGAACTGGGCTCTGTGGGGTGCTCCTCCTTTGGAGTGGGTTGTGAGGTCTCATGACTGGGGTCCTCTGTTGTTTTCCTTGAGGGCCTGAAACCCCAAAACCCTCATTCTTCTGTGCCTCTAGTCCTTGCCCATCTCCACAGGTTCTGTCCGTATACCATGTCCATTCTTGGACAATGCCCCCAGCCCTCTGAATTCCCCAGGTGCCAGACACGACTCAGCACCATGGTCAGCAACACGCCAGGCAGGCGCGCCCCCTGCTGGCCACACCCCCATCCCCCACCCTGTATCCCTGTATTACCGTCTGGCATTTCTGATGTAGAGAAAATAGCCCAGTTCTGAGGCCACAGCAATGACAGCCAGGATCCCGATGATAATACCAGCAATGGCCCCTGAGGACAGGGAGGAGGACTGGGGACCTGGGCAAGGAGAGAGAATCAAGACCGAGGCCTGACACACCCTCATCCCTGCCCCCAGGCCATTCCCAAGCTTGCAGCTTTTTCTCTACTGACATTTTGTGAGCACTGGTTTTCCAGTCGTTGGGAGGCATCAGATTGTGGTTCTTGGTTTTTGGTTTTGCTTTTTTTTTTTTCCAGACAGAGTCTCGCTGTGTCACCCAGACTGGAGTGGAGCGGCGCGACCTCAGCTCACTGCAACCTCCAGGTTCAAGTGATCCTCCCACCTCAGCCTCCCCGAGTAGCTGGGACTACAGGTACCTGCCACCATGCCAGGCTAATTTGTTTTATTCTTTGGTAGAGAGGGGGTTTCACCATGTTGCCCAGGCTGGTCTGGAACTCCTGACCTCAAGTGATCCATCCGCCTCAGCCTCCCAAAGTGCTGGGATTACAGACATAAGCCACTGCACCTGGCCTCAGTCTGTGGTATTAACAGCATCATTTCTAAAATAAATATCCAGTTTCTGGGTCCAAATTTCAGCAGTGACTTTGGGCATGCTACTTAACCTCTCTATGCTTCAGTTGTCTCTTTTGTAAAATGAGAACAACAGGGTTTATAGGACTTCCGGAAAGATTAAACATATATGTATTCATGTTCTATATATATAGTGTTTGTCTGGAACCATGGAAAGTGATCAGTAAATGTTGGCCATGATGACAATGCCAATAAGCATAATGGATCAAATATGGCTTTGCCTTTCTTTCCTCCCAGAAAAGAGGCACACACCAGAGAAAAGAGCTTTGGCAACCAGAAACCCGGCTTTGACTTAGAACCCCTTGACTCGCTGGGGCCGTGTGACCGTGGACAAGTGAATTCATTTCTGAGTCTCATTTCTTCATCTGTAAATAGCACAGGATGTTTGCAAAGATGAGATGAAATCATGAATGTTGACACCTGGCACATAATAGGTGATTAATAAATGGCAATTGTTTTCATTAATCAGGTCTGCCGATTGCCCATCTCACTTCTGCCTCAACCTTTCTCAAAAGGGTGAAATCGAGCCACTGGAATTAAGAACACAGCCACAAGGGTCAGAAGTGTGAGGAAGGAGCTCTGCTTTGGAGGGGCAGGAGGGAACTTCCTGGGGTGCCTCAGGGATTCTTAGTTTCATTCTCTGCACCTCCATTTTTCTTTCCCCGCAGCCGCCCCCCTCGCTTTTTTTTTTTTTTTTTTAGATGGAGTCTTGCTCTGTTGCCCAGGCTGGAGTGCAGTGGCACAATCTCAGCTCACTGCAACCTCCACCTCCCAGGTTCAAGCAATTCTCCTACTTCACCCTCCCAAGTAGCTGGAATTACAGGTGTGCACTGCCATGCCTGGCCATTTTTATGTGTGTGTATTTTTAGCAGAGATGGGGTTTCACCATGTTGGCCAGGCTGGTCTCAAACTCCTGACCTCAGGTGATCCACCTACCTCAACTTCCCAAACTGCTGGGATTACAGGTGTGAGCCACCGTACCTGGCTGCATCGCCATTTCTTTCTTTCTTTTTTTTTTTCTTTTTTGAGACAGAGTCTCGCTCTGTTCCCTAGGCTGGAGTGCAGTGGCACGATCTCGGCTCACTGCAAGCTCAGCCTCCCGGGTTCACGACATTTTCCTAGCCTCCCAAGTAGCTGGGACTACAGGCACCCGCCACCACGCCCGGCTAATTTTTTGTATTTTTAGTAGAGACGGGGTTTCACCGTGTTAGCCAGGATGGTCTCGATCTCCTGACCTCGTGATCTGCCTGCCTCAGCCTCCCAAAGTGCTGGGATTACAGGCATGAGCCACCAGGCCTGGCCTCCGTTTCTTTGTATCTCTAGCAAGAATAAGAATTCCAAACCCTATAGACTCTTTAAAATTTTTTTTTGAGACAGAGTCTTGCTCTATCACCCAGGCTGGAGTGCAGTGGCATGATCTTGGCTCTCTGCAACCTCTGGCTCCTCTGCAACCACTGCAACCTGGCTGCCTCCCAAGTGATTCTCCTGTCTCAGCCTCCCAAGTAGTGTGATACAGGCGCCCACCACCATGCCCGGCTAATTTTTGTATTTTTTAGTAGAGATTGGGTTTCACCACGTTGCCCAGGCTGGTCTTCAACTCCTGACAATATGTGATCCAGCTGCCTCACCCTCTCAAAGTGCTGGGATTACAGGCGTGAGCCACTGTGCCCAGCCTCTATAGACTTTTGAAGGGATTAACAAGATCATGTATAAAACTACCAGCACAGTTCCTGATACATACCAGATGCTTGACAAATGGTGGTGGTGATGATGATGATAATGATGATGATGATGATAGAAGCAAGCTCTAAGCACCAAGAGCCCTTCACACATGATCTCATTCAAATCCTACAATATCCCCGTGAGCATCAACTGAACTCACCGCTTCCTTCCCTGAGCCTCTGTTGTTCCATCCATCAAATGGTCTTACCAAGACCACAAGATTGCTCTGAAGATTAAATGAGGTAATTTGGAAGTTGATATAAATGGTGTTCTAGGCTTAGTGAACACCTTGAGGAGGCCAGCCTGGTTTTAAACCTCGATGACAGGATTTGAGTCTATAGATCTCAGTTTCCCTTCCTGTACAATGAAGAAACCAACAGGCTCACCTCAAAACTGACTGATAGAAAGTACCCAAGAAGTGTCTGCTGATATTATATATGGGAAAGTTGGATTCAGACATGTGGCACAGGCTCAATAAACAAAATTTTAGGCTGAGCGTGGTGGCTCAAGTCTGTGATCTTAGCACTTTGGGAGGCCGAAACAGGAGGACCACTTGAGCCCAGGAGTTGTGCAACATAGGGAGGCCATCTCTACAAAAAATATATAAATAAAATATTAGCTGGGGGTGGTGGTGCACACCTGTAGTCCCAGCTTCTCAGGAGGCTGAGGTGGGAAGATGGCTTGAGACTGGGAGGTTGAGCCTTCAGTGACCCATGATCTTGCCACTGCACTCCAGCCTGGGTGACAGAGACCCTGTCTCAAAAAAAAAAAAAAAAAAGAAGGAATAATTTTATTTGTTTAACAAATACAATATGCCAATCACTGCCCTAAGAACTTTACAAATGTTAACAATCTTCAACAACCCTAAGAAATAGGCAGAATTATTATGTTTTTTAGATAATAAATCAGAGGCCCAGAGAGGGTAAGTAACTTGCCCAAGGTCACACAGCTAATAAGCATTGGAGAAGGATGTGAATCCCAGTGAACAGTAACACTGTTGCCTTCTCAAGAACTAAAGACAGAGATACAGGGACTCCCTGCCAGTCATGTCCAGTTGCTATTAACATCATTTCTGATTCCCCATATAGCTCACTCCTTCCCTCACTGGGTATGTCTCTGACTCATTGTCCTAAATGACTGAAAGATAGGCGTCACGATACGATTTGCCTGTGTCCCCGCCCAAATCTCATCTTGAATTGTAGCTCCCATAATTCCCAAGTGTTGTGAGAGGGACCTTCTGGGAGATAATTTCATCACGGGGGCGGTTTCCCCCATATTGTTCTTATGGTAGTGAATAAGTCTCACGAGATCTGATGGTTTCATAAAGGGTTTCCCCTTTTGCTTGGTTCTCATTCTCTTGTCTGCCATCATGTAAGACATGCCTTTCACCTTCCACCATGATTGTGAGGCCTCCCTAGCCACGCGGAACTGTGAGTCCATTAAACCTCTTTTTCTTTATAAATTACCCAGTCTTGGGCACGTCTTTATCAGTAGCGTGAAAACGGACTAATACACGTCACAAACCCAATTTACAGGCAAACAATCTGAGGCTCAGAACAGCTTGGAGAGTTTTCCAGGGAACATAGCAGGGAGTAGAGTTCCTATGTTCCCCTGAGCATTAGGGGTTAGGATTCAACAGCTGTGGACTGAGAACCTGCTCAGGCAGTGTAGAGACTGCCACACTCCAGCCCTCGGTAGGGGTAGACTAGGCGGCTGGGACCAGCATCAGGAAAGGCCCCTTGGGTCCTAGGGGAAGGCAACCCTGAGAGACTCACCTACCACCTTGACCAGGACTGAAGCGGAGCGGGCCAGGCCGGTGAGAGGGTTGGAGGCTGTGCAGTTGTAGATCCCGTTGTGTTCCCAGGTCAGAGCCCTGATGAGCAGTTGCTCTCCCAGGTGCTCCCAGGTGGAGTGTTCAAGAGTCCAGCGATACTCAGCGCCTGGCTTGGACTCGGCACAACACTGCAGGGTCAGGCTGGAGTTGAGCTCTGCCTCGATGGTGCTGACCATCTTCGATGCCGACTCCCTGGTGATATTCACTTTGTCAGGACCATCTGTGTGTAAAACCAAACGTGATGCACCCTGGCCCCCATCAGCGAGCCATTCACTTTCACCTTGGAATTTCAGTAAAATAAACAGAACATGCTCCCTTTTGCTCCTTAGCTGTCTGACAAGCACAGTGTGGTCCACAACACTGTGGGTGGGGGAGATCAAAACAAAAATAAGGGCCGGGCGCAGTGGCTCACGCCTGTAATCCCAGCACTTTGGGAGGCCAAGGTAGGTGGATCGCGAGGTCAGGAGATTGAGACCATCCTGGCTAACACGGTGAAACCCCGTCTCTACTAAAAATACAAAAAATTAGCCAGGTGTGGTGGCGGGCACCTGTAGTCCCAGCTACTTGGGAGGCTGAGGCAGAAGAATCGCTTGAAACTGTGAAGTGGAGGTTGCAGTGAGCTGAGATCGTGCCATTGCAGTTCAGCCTGGGTGAGACAGCAAGATTCCATCTCAGAAAAAAAAACAAAAAACAAAACAAAGAAAACCCCTGCCTTTGCAAAAGTTAATTCAAAGAAGAGTTTTAGGTCACTTGGGCATCAGAAATTGTTGCTAGGCCAAGCGCAGTGGCTCACACCTGTAATCCCAGCACTCTGGGAAGCCGAGGTAGGTGGATGCGAGTGGAACTCCTGAGACCAGGAGTTCAAAACCAGCCTGACTAACGTGGCGAATCACGTCACTACTGAAAAATAAAAATAAAAACCAGCTAGATGTGGTAGCACATGACTGTAATTGCAGCTACTAGAGTGGCTAAGAATCGCTTGAACCTGGGAGGCCGAAGTTGCAGCAAGCCAGCAAGCCAAGGTTGCGCCACTGCACTCCGGCCTAGGAGAAAGAGTGAGAAGGAAGAAAGAAGGAGAGAAAGAGAGAAAGAGAGGGAGAGGGACGGAGGGAGGGAGAGAGGGAGGGAGGAAGAGAGGAAGGGAAGAAGGGAGGGAGGGAAATTGTGGCTGTGTCCTGTGCATATAATTCCTAAGGGAGGAAGGGAGGAAGGGAGGAAGGAAGGGAGGGAGGGAGGGAGAAGGAAGTGGGGGAGTGAGGGAAATTGTGGTTGTGTCCTGTGCATATAATTCCTAACTTCTAGTCCTGTGTATTCTCAATGGTATAAACACGTGCAAATTTTCTTTGTAATGTCAGAGGGGATCATTGTCACTTTTCTCTTCTACCACATACCAGAAGGAAACACATGAAAGTAGTTGTTGGATTTCTCATATAAATTAAAAGAGTTTGGGCCTGGAGCCATGGCTCATGCCTATAATCCCAGCACTTTGGGAGGCTGAGGCAGGGAGATCGCTTGAGCTCAGGGGTTCAAGACCAGCCAAGGCAACATAGTAAGACCCTGTCTCTATTTTGTAAAAAACCTAAAAGAGTTTAAGAGTCAAACTTTATTTAAATTAATGTAAAACACTAGAAGGGATGCAAAAGGTTGCTAATTGAGATATTCCAGGAGGGGAGGAATACTCTTTCTCTGCTCCCTCCCAAACATCCTTTGAACCTGTTCATTTCTCCCCATCCTGACCCCATGGCCACTTGGATCCCTCACCTGCATCCCAGCTCCTCCTGGTCTCCCCATCCCAGTCTCATCCTCCACACAGTAGCCAGAGAAGTCTTCCTAAGTACTAAATTGTCACTGTCCCTCCTGTGTTCAGAACCCTCTGTGGCTCCCCAGTGCCCTTGGGACAAAGCCTGTGGCTGATGAGGCCATTTACAATTTGATCCTTACAGACCCCCTCCGGTCCCACCTTTCCACACCTCTTGCTCTCATTCAGGAATTAAATCCCACTCGGAGATTCCATCCTTGTTACACTCTCTCTTGCCTCAAAGCCGTCGCACACTCTCTTCCCTCTGCCTGGAATGCTCTTCCCTGCCTCTGCTCTAACCAGCCTACTCCAACTCATCCTTCAGCTCTCACGGTGGACATCCCCATTCATGATGAGCCTTCGCAACATGCCTCAGATGGAGGCTTCCTTTGGGCTCCCCATACCCTCCCTTTGTCCCCCAAGTTCCCATTTATCATGCTGTGTTTTATTTGCCTACTTAGTGACCTCGCCATCTCCAGCAGGCTGTGAAAGCTGAAAATCATGGCAAGTATCAAATGCTCAACATGTTGCTTACCACAGAGAGAGCACAAAATATATATTTTTGGTTTAATGACTGAATTGAGAAGGAAAGAGGAGAGAGCAACAGAGAAGTGTAAAGAGGAGCAAAGACATGTACTTAACCCCTACCTCTGCGTTCCCTGCTACTTCGCATGTACAAAAGTGCACCCCTCCTTTCTCTCCCAGCAGAAACCTCTTCTCCCCCAATCTTCTCCATCTTGGTTCATGACTCCTACATCCTTTCAGTGGCTCAGGCAATAAACCTTAGAGTCATTCTTGACTCCTTTCTTTCTCTTTCACCTAATATCAGTCAGCAGCATATTCAAAATACATCCACAGTACAACCACTTCTCAACACCCGACAGTGGCCATTCTGGACAGCTGCAACACTGGACAGTTGCCACTGTGGCCACCAGGAGAAGCTCTCCAAAGACCTCCAACAGGAGAAATGTAATTGACCAAGGGCCCAATTGCTGTGCCCCCAGATCTACTCCCAGCCCTCCCACAGGCTGCACCCTGCCAGTACCTGAGTGCATCCAGGAAACTAAGGCAGGCCCCTTCCTGGGAGACATGGGAGGTCCCAACAGCCTTGATGGGTGTTCCTTCAACTGCATGGTTATCCAGGTGCTTCTATTCAAGTCTCTGTCCCTCTCCCTGTCACTTGGGGTCACACTCGCATCTCAGTCTCTCAGTCTGATGGCTCTCCCCAACCTTCCTGCAGCTGCCTCCCTAGTTATCCTCACAGGAGCATTTCCCCTAATAAAATCCTTGCATGAATAATCTCGTTAATCCCACCTTGGGGTCTGCTTCTCCAAGGATCCAGACAAATACAGCTCCTCTTACTCCCCCTCTCCCTGGCTTCTATGTTTGCCTCCCCGTAGACAAGGGCCAGTGAGACCCTGGGAAAGCTTAAATCTGGTGGTGTCCCTAAGCCTTATCACGTGCTTCTCTGTTTATGGTCTGGTTTCTCCACTAGAACATAAGCCCCCTGAGGGCAGGCGCTTGGCCTTGTCCAGTGCCCAGATTCATGCCTGGCACAGAGCAGGAGCTCAATAATCATAGCATGAATGATTGGAAGGAAGAACTTAAAGAGAAGGAGGGAAGCAGGGAGAAGGGGAAGGTCCAGGCCCCGGCTGACTCACAGTTGATGGTCAGCTCAAGGGGCTCACTCCGGGCCCGGCTGCCCCAGTTCCAGACCTCACAGGCATAGGGCCCCGTGTCATTCCGCTGGAGGCCGTGGATGATCAGGGTCCTGTTTCCAGCTGACAGCTGCAGGTGCTCACTGGGCAGGAGGGGCTGGCCACTCACGAACCACTGGACATTCACAGTCTCATTGACGGTTTGGCAGGTCAGGTCCACGGACCTGGCATTCTCCACAAGGTTCAGGCTTGAAGGCACGACTCTTGGCGTGGTCAGTTTTTCTGGAAACACGTGGAGGTACAGGGTCAAGTTCAGGAAGATTTCCCCCATCTCTTGCCCTTGTGGGGCCCACAAGTTTTTCCAGGAGTGTGTGTGTGTGTGTGTGTGTGTGTGTGTCTTGTGGGTGGTGTGTATGTGTATATCATTTGCATATGACTGGTGTGTGGGGTACATGTATGTCTTTTGTGGATGAATGTGTGTTGTGTGATTTTTCATGTGAATATGTAATGAGTTTTGTGTATACGGAGAGTGTGTGGTGCGCGTGTGTTTTGCATTTCTTGTGTGTGTTGGGTGTATGTGTTGAATATGAAGTATGTGTGTGGTACACATGTGCACTTTGTACGTGAGTATATGTTATGTGTATTTTTTTGTATATGAGTGTGTGTTCTGTGTCTGTGGTATTGTTTGTGTTATGTGTTTGTGTTGTGTGATGTGTGCATATGCACTGAGTATGTGCTACATGTGGTATGTGTATGTATTTTGTGTGTGCATTGTGTGTCTGTTGTACGTATGTGTTGAGGGTGTTGACTGTATGGTATGTGGTGTGTTTTCTATGTTGTCCATCTTGAGTGTCTGATGTTGAATGGCTGTAATGTTTAGCGGGTGCTGAATGTCAATGATATATGTTGTGTGTGTCCATTAGTGCATATTAGGTGTATATATGTTTTATGTGAGTGTGTCATGTATATGTGATCTTGTTTGTTGTGTAGATGTATGTGAGATATGTGTGTCTGTGTTTTGCATGTCATGTGTGTTGTATATGTGTTGTATGTGTGACCATTTTGCATGTGTGTTGTGAGTTTGTGTGTATGTGTTATGGATTTGTATGCATATGCTGTGTGGATGTATGTGCTGTGGGTTTGTGTGTATGTGCTGTGGATTTGTATGTGTTGTGGGTTTGTGTGTATGTGTTGTATGTCTGATGTGTTATATACTTTGTGATGAGTAAGTTGTACACCTCTGTTGTGTGCATGCTATATGTGTGTATGTTTTGTGTTAGTGTGTGTTGTATGTCTGTGGTATTGCACAGTATGTGTACGTGTTATATATGAGTTGTGTTTACTGTGTGTATTGTACATGTGCGTGAGTGTGCTGTGCATGTGGGGTTATTATCTGTGTGTATATGGAGTATGTGAGTGTTGTGTTAGTGTTTTTAAATGTAGACAGTTAACCTCCCCCTATCTTCAGAGAATCAAATCATGGGCACCCCCTAGAGAGCCACCAGGGTCTCCTGCAGGATGTGCCAGGCCAGGCAAAGGAGCCAGTGTGCCCAGCCTTCCCTGCGGTCGGAGCCCTGCTCAGTCACCAGCTGCATTGGATATCCCCCTGGGTCCTCCTGAAACTCTGGGGTATTGATGCAGCTTAGTGGCTCTTAAGATTTTTTTGTTTTTTAGACAGAGTCTTGCTCTGTCACCCAGGCTGAAGTGCAGCGGCCCGATCTCAGCTCACTGCAAGCTCCGCCTCCCGGGTTCACGCCATTCTCCTGCCTCAGCCTCCCGAGTAGCTGGGACTACAGGTGCCCGCCACCACACCCGGCTAATTTTTTGTATTTTTAGTAGAGATGGGGTTTCACTGTGTTAGCCAGGGTGATCTCGATCTCCTGACCTCATAATCTGCCCGCCTCAGCCTCCCAAAGTGCTGGGATTACAGGCGCGAGCCACCGTGCCCGGCCTCTTAAGGTTTTTTTTTTAGAGTTCAAGATCCCTTCAAAAATCTGATGACAATCCTGGACCCTTCCTCTAGAACACGGTGCAAACATTATGCAAGCAACTCAATGTCATGCAGGGGTTTCTCCCTCACACAGTATCCAAAGGCCCTGGATTAAGAACTCTTGGTTCCTTCTGACATGGCCAGCATCTGACTCTCAGAAGAACAAAGGAGAGGAACCAGGAAAGGAGACTTACCGAGGACTTGAACCTTCAGAGTACCCAGGCGGGACAGGTGGGTGGCACTGTTGAACACCAAGCACTTGTACAGGCCCTCATCTTCTCTGGACACAGCATGGATGGTGAATGTGCTCGTGGTGTGAGACAGAATGGAGTCAAGGAGAAACCAGGTATAGGCAGAGGGTGGGTGAGACTTTGTTTCCGCCAAGAAGGTCACGTCAGAGCCCTCCATCACCTCAACCACCTCCCCACTGGCAACACCAGACATCAATTTGATTTCAACAGGATCAGGACCATCTGAGAGGAGAGGAACAATTACAGCAGTAACAATAGCATCAGCAACAGGTCTCTTATGGAGGTCTTTAACGGATCAATAAATACTTTATTTCCCTCCTCCCCACTCAAAGGCTAGATCAATTACAAACGAGGTGCAGTAGTCAGATGGAGATGAAATGTCAGCCTCACCCCTGGGTAAAGCAAGGTTGAAAGATACATCTAAAGTATGCCAGCTGAATGGTTAAGGTAGCTCACACCTGTTATGTTTTGTGTGAGTGTGTCTTGTATGTCTGTGGTATTGCACGGTATGTGTACGTGTTATATATGAGTTGTATTTTGGAAGGCTGAGGCAAGAGGATTGATTGGAGCAAGGAGTTTAAGACCAGTCAGGGCAACCTATCAAGATCCCATCTCTACAAAAAATTTAAAAATTAGCCAGGTGCAATGGCTCATGCCTGTAGTCCCAGCTACTCGGGAGGCTGAGGCAGGAGGATTGCTTGAGCCCAGGAGGTCGAGGCTGCATTGAGCTATGATTGCACCACTGCACAACAGCCTGGACAACAGAGTGAGATCTTGTCTCAAATAAAATGAATGAATGAATGAATAAATAAATAAATAAATAAAGTGAGCCTGCTAATGCTCTTTGCTCACCCCTATCCAGGCAAGGTTTTGGATCAAACGTCTGAGGTTTGGGAGCTCAATTTTAGACACATTAAGTTGGAGGTTTCCAGTAGAATCCAAGTAGAGATGTCAAATAGTTATACATCTGAAGTTCAAAGGTAGACAAGTCCACATCTGGATGGTATTTCAAGCTGTGAGACTGAACGAGGCACTAAGGAAGTGAGTGTTGGTGAGGGGTTGGAGAGAATGGAAAGGGACTCACACTTCACGTCCAGGAAGATGGGGTCGCTGCTCTGGCGCAGAAGGGCATCTCGAGCTTCACAATGGTAAGTCCCCGAGTCCTCCCGCTGGACAACGAGGATGGTGAGGTTCTTGCCATCCTTCGACAGCTGCATGCGCTCATGGAACACGAGGGAGAGGTTGTTGGAAACCCAGTGGATGGTAATGTTGACATCCTTGGTGTTGCAGTAGAAGGTCACCATATCCTTCTGCTCAATGGCAGTGCCCGGGCTGACTGCAATGGTAGGCTTGGCCAGCTCTGAAAGCAAGCGAGGGAGACAGAGGCAGAGACACAGGTAGAGGAAGAACAAACAAGACGTAGTCACAGGGGGACCCAGAGAAACAGGACTAGACTGGAATTGCCGGAAGACACTCTGGAGTTGGATGCCTGGGCTTGAATGCTGGATCTACTGCTCATTCTAGGCGTCATCTTGGGCAAGTTACTTCCCTTCTCCAAGTCCCATTCAAAGTGATTGTGCAAGTGAAGCAAAGGGTCTGGGACCTGACCAGGGGTCAATCAATGTCAACTGCAATGACAATCAAGCTTACAACACGGGTGCCAGCAAGGGCCCCCTACCCACTCTTTTTCTTTATTGATATAGGGTTTCACTCTGTCACCCAGGCTGGAGTGCAATGGTGCAATCATAGCTACTGCAACCTTGACCTCATGGGCTCAAGCGATCCTCCCACCTCAGCTTCCCAAATAGCTGGGACTACAGGTGTACACTACCATACCTGGTGAATTTTTTTTTTTTTTTGTAGACATGGTGTCTCCCTATGTTGCCCAGGTGGGTCTCGAACTCCTGGGCTCAAGTAATCCACCCATCTCAGCCTCCCAAAGTGCTGGAAATGACAGGCGTAAGGAACTGCACCCAGCCCCCCCACCCACTTTTTAGCCAACTTTGCCCACCCCAGCCATGACAGTCACAGCCCTCCCTCTTTACCCCGACCCCTGGCACAGATGACTGGACCGGTTATTGCCAGACTCTGGCTGAGCCAATCAGATTCGTCCTCTTGGGACTTTGGGTGTGAGGCCCGGATGGGGGATCTCCATGGAGGCAGAGATCAATATGACCATCTTGTTTTCTGGCTCCCACCTCTGGATCTGCCATGAATCTGGGGTGTCCTGGGGGTCCCAAACACAGACAGAACAACATCCTCACTTTGGGTGGCATCAAGTGGGTTGGCATCAAGGGTGAGCTGGGCTGCAGCTGGAGGATTCCATAGGGTCCAAAGCGAGGCTAGAAGGGGAGAGAGGAGGCATTCAGGGAGGGAGAGGTGTGTTGGGGGGTGCCTGACTAGGGTCTTCAGAAGCACAGGGAGCTCTGAGGTCATAGGGCTGGCATTCCACCCATGGAGACCTGAGTCCTACTCATTACTTACCAGCTATGTGACCTGCAGCATGTTTTTTGTTTGTTTGGTTGGTTTTTGTTTGTGTGTTTTTGTTTTTTTTTTTTTTTTTTTTGAGACGGAGTCTCGCTCTGTCACCCAGGCTGGAGTGCAGTGGCCGGATCTCAGCTCACTGCAAGCTCCGCCTCCCGGGTTTACGCCATTCTCCTGCCTCAGCCTCCCGAGTAGCTGGGACTACAGGCGCCTGCCACCTCGCCCGGCTAAGTTTTTGTATTTTTAGTAGAGACGGGGTTTCACTGTGTTAGCCAGAATGGGCTCGATCTCCTGACCTCGTGATCCGCCCGTCTCGGCCTCCCAAAGTGCTGGGATTACAGGCTTGAGCCACCGCGCCCGGCCTGTTTTTGTTTTCTGAGGCAGAGTCTGGCTCTGTCGTCCAGGCTGGCATGCAGTGGCACAATCTCAGCTCGCTGCAACCTCCGCCTCCCGGGTTCAGGTGATTCTCCAGCCTCAGCCTCCTAAGTAGCTGGGATTACAGGCACAGGCCACCACGCCCAACTAATTTTTGTGTTTTTAGTAGAGACGGGGTTTTGCCATGTTGGCCAGACTGGTCTCGAACTCTTGACCTCATGTGATCTGCCTGCCTCAGCCTCCCAAAGTGCTGGAATTACAGGCGTGAGCCACTGTGCCCAGCTGCAGCATGTTTTTGTCCTCTCTGAGCCTCAGTCTCAACTGTAAAATTGGTGTACTATCACCTGCTTCCTAGGGTTGTTGTGGGGGTGGTAATGAATATTGGCAAACTTTAATTGGGCTGCCTGATAGTCACTGTGTTCTCTCCAATGATGTGCCCTCTACTGGAGCCACATGATGGTCCCTGTATTCCACATAGAGGAAAACCGATGCTCAGAGAAGTGATGTCACTCACCAAGACGGTATTATCAATGGCAGAAGCTAAAAACCTGGCCTGCCAGGCCCTGAAGACTGCGCTCTCAACACTGTAATTCCTCCTGTCAGCCCAGAGATGTCCACAGAGCCAGCCCTTGATTAACAGGTACTTCTACTGTGATCTTGGTGAAAAATATTGACTTTTGGTACTTCCTCTGATGTGCCCCTAGGCAAGATTTCACTTGCATGGGGAGGAAAGGAGAACAAGATAGCAGAAGTTCCCAGTTTTTGGCGGGGTATGGTGGCTCATGCCTGTTATCTCAGTACTTCGGGAGGCTGAAGTGGGACGATCACTTGAGCTAAGGAATTTGAGACCAGCCTGGGCAACATAGTGAAGCTTTGTCTGTACTAAAATTTTTTTAAATTAGCTGGGGGTGTTGGCGTACATCTATAGTCCCAGCTACAGTCTGAAATGGGAGGATCACTTGAGCCTGGGTGTTTGAGGCTGCAGTGAGCTGTGATGGCACCATTGCACTCCAGCCTGGGTGACAGAGCAAGATCCTGTCTTAAAAAAAAATACAAACACACACACAAAAAATGAGTTCCCAGTTTTCCATTTGATCATTCTGCACACCACTACGGAGGCTGCAAGAGACTATGGGACCTGGCACGGTGGCTCATGCTTGTAATCCCAGCCCTTTGGGAGGTCGAGGCGAGCGGATCACTTGAGGCCAAGAGTTTGAGATCACCCTGGTCAACATGGTGAAACCCCGTCTCTACAAACAAACAAACAAAAAAATACAAAAACTAGCCGGGTGTGGTGACAAGCACCTGTAAACCCTGCTACTTGGGAGGCTGAGGCACGACAATCTCTTGAACCCAGGAGGCAGAGGTGGTGGTGAGCTGAGATAGTGCCATTGCACTCCAGCCTGGGTGACAGAGCTAGACTTTGTCTCAAAACAAAAACAAACAAACAAACAAAACATGAGACTTTGCTGGGGCCCAACCCCAGCAGCTGTGCTCACATGCAACTAACCTCATCTCTCCCAAGAGCCCCATTAACGCAGACCCTCTGCCCCTCTCAAAAGGGCCCCAATGTGGCCCTAACACTGCCCCATTCTCTGCCCAGTCAGTGAATAAGGGCACGAGCTCTTAGGAACAAATATGAGCTCTGTCACTTACTAGCCCTACTATCATGGGTAAGGGACTTTCTCTTTGTGCGGCTCAGTTTCTTCAACTGAAAAATGGAGATTATAGTAGAACTCAGCTTATCTGGTGGTTGTGAAGTCTGAGTGAGATTATCAAATGTGACATGCTTAACAGAGTTCATAGCAAATATTCAGCCACCATGATGGCAACGATGACGACGATGATGGTAGTCTTGATGACGGGTTCTCGTGTCTGTGGTTTCTCTGCCTCAAATGCTATTAGAGGTTAGGCCCACAGCCTCAGAGCCTGACCACCTGGGTTTGAATCTCATTTTTGCCATTTATTTGGGCAAGTGATATCCCCTATCTGAGCCCCAGTTTCCCCATTTGAAAAATGGAGGTAGTAACAGTTCCAGCCTCACTTAACTGTCGTAAGGATAAGTGAAATGATGTGAGCGAAAGCATTGATAGGGGCCTCCTCATATCCGCCCGAGACAGGAAGCCTCCCTCCGTGGAGAGCCTGCCGTGGCCCCTTCCCTCTGGCTTTCTTCTCACATTGCCCTGCCTTTGTCCCATCAGGAAGAGGCAACACTCACAGAGACACCTGTGGATGCGGCTGATAACTCTCAGCCTCCCAGGACTACGGAGCCCCTGCACCCTTCCAGGGTCAGCCAGGAAGTGCCAGCCCAGAGAAGGAGAAGCTGGTCTCAGAGACACACAGCAAGGCTGGGCTGAGCCCTCACCTCTGCACATGACCTGTTGCAAAATAATGTCTTCACTTCCAAAATACTTTTTTCGTCAAAATATTCTAGTTTCTCCCTTTTGTCTCAGATGCCTTTTAGGCAGAAATTTCACATTCATCCCCATCCTGATCCGTGGACCTGGCCGCCCAGGGCTGGCACAGCCTCCCTCCGCCTATCTCTCATCTGCTTGTGTGAATCTCCGTGATACTCCCTCTCTCCCCGTGTCTCTGAATCTATTTCTGTCTGTGTCTTTACACAGTTCTCTCCCTGTCTCTTTGTTCTCTGTCTTCATCTCTCTCTGCCCCTCCCTGTTTTTCCCACTGGTCTTTCTTTTCTTTTCTTTCTTTCTCTCTCTCTCTCTCTTTCTTTCCCTTTCTTTCTTTTTTTTTTGAGACAGACTCTTACTCTCACCCAGGCTGGAGTGTAATGGCACAATCTCGGCTCATTGCAACTTCTGCCTCCCAGGTTCAAGCAATTATCTGCCTCAGCCACCCAAGTAGCTGGGATTACAGGTGCCCACCACCACACCCAGTTAATTTTTGTATTTAGTAGAGACAGTGTTTCACCATCTTGGCCAGGCTGTTCTTGAACTCCTGACCATGTGATCCACCCACCTCGGCCCCCCAAAGTGCTGGGATTACAGTCATGAGCCACTGCGCCTGGCCTCCACTGGTAACATTTCTAAGGTTATTTTTTTACCTTTTGTCTCTGTCTCCCTGGGTATCTCTTCTTCCTGTATTTCCCTCTCTCTCTCTTTCTCCCTGGGTCTCTGGTTCTATGGCTCTGACTCCATCTTTCTCTCTCTCTCTCTTTCTCTGTACACACACACACACACACACACACACACACACACACACTTTGGCTTTCTCTCTTGTCTCTAGTCTCTGTTTATGTCTCCTTCTGTCAGTCTCTTGCATCTGTATTTGTTTCTGTCTCTGTCTCTGTGTCTGTTTCTCTCTGCCTCTGTCTCTCTTTCCTCAAGTGTGTACACACACACACACCACTGACAAACATACATATATTTTTGTCTCTCTCTTTGTCTCTGGTCTCTGTTTAGGTCTCCTTCTGTCAATCTCTTTTGTACCTGTCTTTATTTCTATCTTTCTCTTTCTTTCTTTCTCTTTCTTTCTTTCTCTCTCTATTTCTTTCTTTCTTTTTCTTTCTTTCTCTCTCTCTCTCTCTCTTTCCTTCTTTCTTTTTTGAGACAGGGTCTTGCTGTGTCACTCAGACTGGGGTGCTGTAGTGTGATCTCGGTTCACTGCAGCCTCCGCTGCCGAGTTCAAGGTTCAAGTGATTCTCCTACCTCAGCCCCCCAAATAGCTGGGACTATAGGCGCCCGCCACCACACCCAGCTAATTTTTGTATTTTTAGTAGAGACATGGGTTTTGCCATGTTTTCCAGGCTGGTCTCAAACTCCTGGCCTCAAGTGATCTGCCCACCTCAGCCTCCCAAAGTGCTGGGATTACAGATGTGAGCCACCACGCCCGGCCCTATCTTTATATCTGTATCTGTCTTTGTTTCTGTCTCTGTCTCTGTGTCTCCATTTTTTTTTCTCTGCCTCCATCTCTTTCCTCGAGTGTGCGCGCGTGCACACACACACACACACACACACCACTGACAAATAGATGGATACAACCCCCCTCCACCCTCATCTGAAGGAAGCAGGGCACTCACCTGAGAGCAGGATTCCCATCCAGTGGTGTCCCCATAAGTCAGCAGGCCCCATGGGTCCCAGCACCTGACTTCAGTGTGCCAGGCCGTCTGTTGTCCCAGCTTGCACACACAGACACAGTCCTCACTCCAGCTGCAGCCCCTCCACCTCCCTTCTCTCCTCTCCCCCACTGCTACAAAGTCACACACACTGTAGTGACTGCCGCTCTCGGGACAGACAGGGGTGGTGGCAGGGAAGTAACTTTGACCCCACCTCTGCCCTCCACCCCCAGGGCTGACTTTCCTTCCCTGCCCAGCGTGGAGAGCGGAAAGTCCAGGAACCCTGGAGACCGGGAACTGAGATTACGATGGTCAATAGCAATGATAAGAAAAAAACAACAATGACCAGCTCCTTGTTTCTGAGAGCTTAATAACCAGGCCCAGTGCCAAGTTCATTATAAGCAGCCAATAAATACTAAATGAGCTGGAATCATGCTTGTGATATAGATCCCAGTCATAAACGAAAGCTCTGGAGTCAGACCGGCAGGAATCACAGACTGAGCAGGACTGGGGGAACTCCAGGAGGAGCTCAACGTGGTCTTGGGAGAAGGGGCAGGGAGGGCTTCCTGGAGGAGTGGACATCTGAGCTGAAACTTGGAGAACACAGTAAAGGTTCTATATATAAAAGTTACTTTTAAAAAAATCTCTATGAGCAAGACAAGCTGTTGGTCTTTGAGAGTATATAGACCCAGACCCAGAAGATTTAACAGAATCAACCAGCTGAGGGAACTATCATTAATCCATGTATCATGTATCCATCCACTAATTTATTTAACAAATACTTCCTGAATTCTCTTCCTTTTTTTTTTTTAGATGGAGTCTTGCTCTGTTGCCCAGGCTGGAGTACAGTGGCATGATTTCAGCTTCCTGCAATCTCCACCTCCCAGGCTCAAGTGATTCTCCTGCCTCAGCCTGCCTAGTAGCTGGGACTACAGGCGTGTGCCTCCACACCCAGCTAATTTTTTTTTTTTTTTTTTTTTCTTTTTTTTTTTAAATTATATTTTATGTTCTAGGGTACATGTGCACAACATGCAGGTTTATTACATATATATACATGTGCCATGTTTGTGTGCTGCACCCATTAACTCGTCATTTACATTAGGTATATCTCCTAATGCTATCCCTCCCCGCTCTCCCCACCCCACAACAGGCCCCGGTGTGTGATGTTCCCCTTCCGGAGTCCAAGTGATCTCATTGTTCAATTCCCACCTATGAGCGAGAACATGCGGTGTTTGGTTTTCTGTTCTTGCGATAGTTTGCTGAGAATGATGGCTTCCAGCTGCATCCATGTCCCTACAAAAGACAAGAACTCATCCTTTTTTATGGCTGCATAGTATTCCATGGTGTGTATGTGCCACATTTTCTTAATCCAGTCTATCATTGATGGACATTTGGG